TTTATAATCAAACATAGCTCCTTAGGATGAAAGATGACCCCCAATTTTTATATCATATTCTGAAAGCACATGAGTTGTAGATAAGATTTTATAGACCATATTGGCTGATCGGACATTTTGACGTCATCATATTGCCATTTGAATTAAGAAAAAATTGAATTTTTATTTATGACGTTATTACTTTTTATACTCGTTTGAACGTACTCGCTTATCTTGATTGATTGTCTCCTACCTGTGAGTATGTTATAGCTAAATCAATTCTCTTTCGGACGTGTCCCTTTATTTTTTATTTTGATGACGTCATCATGGTCAAAAATAATGCTTTTTCGGAGCCTTCTTATCTTTCTTAAAAGATGTAAACACATTGAAAATAGAGGGCGGCAGACTGTATTTCGACACTATCAAACCGATAGTTCGTATACTGTAAAGGCAAAATTCCGTGTGGCATTACCAACCAACAGGGGGTTTTAAATTAAACTTGACAAGGTTTAAATTCATGTGCCATTACCGTCGTCAGACACGTCGTATAAGGTATTCGTACTTGTGCGTTAAAATTTTAAAATTGTTAATATCACTTTTCAGATAATTTAAAGCACGTTTCAGGTCATTTTGAATATTCCAACTTTCCAAAATTTACGCGCCGTACGCTCATTTCCACGCCCACAGCACCTACTAAAGCTGGAAATGACGTTTCGGTTACATGTGTTGGGTTTGTGACACTGTATTAGTATTATTACCGTGCGCACGGACGTTAAGACGTATGTGTACACATTCGTAAGTCCTTAAAATGCTCAAAATTACTCTTTTCCTTTAAAATTCCTTTTAAAATGCTCAAAATTATTCTTTAAATAGAGCATGTTTTAGCATATAATACTTTTCAATCAGAACTGCGCGTGCTTCGTGAGGGTCGAAGTACGGCGGATCACCAAACTCGTCCTCAGTGACGAGTTCAAATCTAGTTGTATTTTTAGATGTGTACGTCTGTCACACTTCAGACAAGTACGTCCGTCACGATAAAATTGTACGTCCGTCACAGTAATTTTATGGTGTTTTCATAGAGAAAATGAAAAAATTTAAATTAAATTTTTATTCTGCTAGAAAGCTCACACATTAGTGGAAAACAACAGGGAAATATTTTTTTTAAATGTCTCACACATCACAGAGTTTTTAAAAAAAGTATAGTGACGTAGGAAAAGTCACTTTCTCTGATTACTACCGTCACGAGGTCATTTTGACCCGTATCTCCGTAACGCATACGAGTTAAAAATAAAAATTGTAGGCTTGATAGTACTAACCAGTAGATGTAATTGTAGGCTTGATAGTACTAACCAGTAGATGTAATGCAAACTTAAAAAAAATAAATTGAAAGCTTCATTATGAAAATATTGATTCACAAAGTGTCTGAAATGTACGTCCGAATTTATGGAATTGCCCGTCTTGTTCTATCTCAGTTATACATGCATTATGGAAATTATAATTAAAATTGAATCGAAAATAATTAATTTTATCATAATACTTAGCTCTACATATATATATAAAAAAATGATTGTCAAAATGAATATTAAGCCTATAACATAGTTCATGTCATACATGGAATACATAATGTACTTGATATGATTATATAATTGATATCACTTATTATACACTTAACTGAAACTAATACTTAATCTACTTAAACATAACATTTAAATTGTCTCTGGCTTATTTCGCAGCTTTGCGTACGGGTCGGTCAGCTGTAGATTGTTTTATTCCTTGATATACGGTAGACTAAATTGTTCCAGTTTAATCGTTTCTGTGTATCAGAATAAATATGTCGCCTACTTACTGTTTTCTTAGTTTTTGCTTGGTGGTCTTCCCGCAACGCAAGGAGGCATTCTTAACGCCAGCTTTTCCATATGTTTCAAATAATTTGTCAATGTGTTTGCTCTTATCTATGTCTAATCATAGAGAAAATAGAACAATTTTCTCTATGGTCTAATTTAGCTGTGTAATTGTAAAACCAGGATCGATAAGATCCTCCTCCAACGGAAGATGGGGATAATTGGATATTAAGCGACCATTAATTAAGAATGAGGGTGTTAAGGGTGTTATTTTGTCTGAATCAGTATATATATATATATATGTATGTAATTGACACAGTGGCGGATCTAGAGGGGGTGAATAAGGTGGCTAACTAGGGTGGGAATCTTTGCAATAAATTGCTCCGCTGAAATCTACCGTTGTAACATTAAAGGGTTGACATTATTTGATACGGCATGTTGAAAAGAGTGGGCTTTCAAGGTTGATAAATGCTTCCTATAACGGATATGCAGGGAACACATTTTCTAAATATCGATTTTACAGACTGTCTGATTTTGGGTATCCAATAAATTTGTCATATCCGGGTCACTGTATTCTACCCCTGATTATCTTGTTGTTTTTTATGCTATTTTTGAGAATTCTCGTGTCTTTTGATGTTTTACCTTAAATTGAATAGGTTTTTTATCTGTAATTTTCTGTTACGAATTAAGAGACGCTTACTATATAATTTCAAAACAAAATTTAATGACAAGAAAGATCGACGTTTGGGGTCCATGGGCATGGAACCATTCTCAAGATCAAGTAAATTGAAAAAACAAAAAACAAAAATACCAAGCAGTGACAGGAAGTAAGTAATTAATTTACATATCAATAGGGCCTACTGTGTGGAGCCATTAGTGGAGCTAAGCAAAATTAGCCCTTCTTAGCAGATTAACTAGATAAACAGTTTGGCTTTGACTGAATCAGTTTGTTTGTTAATTGTAGGTTCCAGTTCTTTGATCCAAAGCATTTCTTTGATTAAGCAATCAAACTTGGATTTGCACTTAGATAAAACCTTGAAATAATTAACAGTTTCAGTAGCACTAATATCATGATCTTTTAAATGTTGTCCTATGTTACCTTTACTGTGCTCATCAATGCGTTGATAAATGTGTCGACAAGTGTAGCCGACATAGCTTGCATCGCACAAGCCACATTGAAATTTATAAACAACGCATTGTTAATTAACAATCTTAGGTTTACTTTCTTTCGATTTCAAGATTTCACCTATCTTCCTGCTAGTGAATACGGGCATAATTTCATTATTAATCTTACAGCTAAGCAGTTTAAGTTGTTTAGATTGTTAATAATAATAATAATAATAATAATAATAATAATAATAATAATAATAATAATAATAATAATAATAATAATTATAATAATAATAATAATAACAACAGCATCATTATTATTTTTTTTATTACTATTATTATTATTATTATTATTATTGTTGTTGATAATATTTATTGTGATGAATTTATTGTTAATATTTTAACTTTTATATAATTATTGTTGTTGTTAATTAATGAACCACGGACTCAAGGAAGAACAACTTTTTACAATTTCTTTTTTGATATTACATTTTCTATATTGAATTTGGGTTTTTTTACCGTGTATAAATAAAGAGATTATTATTATTATATATTATAATGACCCAGAGAATGTAGTTAGATGGCATGTGGTTTCACCTGTTGTCCTTTCGTTTATGATCAAGGTGGAATATTTATGCCAATTAAAATTTATGCCAATATTTTTCCATTGTGTGTAATAATTAGAGTAATGCATATGCATTTTTTTTTTTAAATCTTTTTTTGTGAAATTTTGCCGGGAATGGGGCTTTAAGGCCTATAGAGGGCGTATATATTTCATGTTGTTATAGAGCGCACTTGAGATGTCATGAAGGAATGTTCGAATAAGCGCCGCGGCGCTTATCTTTTCGGAGGCTCTAGAGCGGCGCTGATAAATATTGGCGTGGTACTTTCCATGCCAGTTCCCATGTTAATTCTAACGTCATCGTAAATAAATGTAAATAAAGAAATGCCTGTGTCTTCATTGTGTTATTTATTCATTTTAACACTGTATACCTTGTATTTTAAACCCTGTTTCTGAAAGTGTTTCATTATTCAAATGGAAATATAATTATAGGTATTCTCGATTAAACGCCACGCGAGCTTATTGGAGACTGGCGCTTATTCTATAGCGGCGGTTATTCGAGAGCGTTGCTTGTTTGAGCATTTACGGTATGCGATATAGAAAACCATATTAAATAAAACCAATGATAGGCCTAATATAGAATATGAATAATTCTAAATTCTTTAGATATCACAATCTACAGTTCTACTAATGATATTAGGCCTATAGTTAAAATAGTTCAACTTTTTTATCTTTACACACTAGAAATAGTAGGCTTAGCATAATAATTATACAAATCATCGACTGACATTCTGATTGAAAGGAAGGCCACAAAATATACAGATATATAGTGGAAATACTAAACTTCATACATATAAAACTACTGCAGTCTGTATACAAAATGCACTGTAAACCATAGAAATTTATGGAGCACGTAAAAACTAAGCCGTTGAAACAACGAAATTGTAGTTTTTATTAGAAAAGTGGGTTATAACTATAGATTAATTTCACGGTGGTGATTATTATTAGAAGGTTACTAATACAGTAATGTGTAATAATATTATGGATTATTTTTAAGCTTTACGGTAATTAAGGAAAATTACTTTATTAAAATGCAGCTGAATGCCAATGTTAGTTTTAGTTATATAAGTGAAAATGAGAAAAATGTGATTTATATGAATTGACATATTATGATAATGTGAAAAATAAGATTTTGAATTTAGAATAAAAGTGCCCATACAAAAGATTAAAAAATATATAGAATCAACAAGTCGGATGTTCCTTCTTGAACAACAGTTTCAAGCCTGGTTCTAATCCAACAGCCAAGGTCGGATTTTATTTGGATTCGATCGATTATAATTCCAAATTTGGAATAATGATGTAAATGAATCATAAATATAAAAAACATTAACAGCATTTTTTGAGTTCGTATTGGTTTCATTAAAAATAATAATTTTACACTAACACGAATCGACTAAATATTGGACGAGGATTGCCACTATAAAAGCAACATACGGCTGAATTCTTTATGCACATTGCGTTAGAACGTCAGTATACGTACAGTTCAAACACACAGCTACTACAGTGATTCAACAGGTAAGCGAAACGCACCACTTCAGTTATATAATTTAAGTAGAGACACAACATGTGTAAATCATAAACGCCCAGGCGCCTACATCAGTCTGAAAGAAGTACGTTTTCTTTCAGACGTTAGGTTACACAGTCCAAAGTAGGCCTAACAGCAAATTAAATTGACTGTTGAGAAAATCAAATATTTTCGTAGTAATTTGTGAATGTGTGTGAAATGTACAAAGTTAAGGGACATGGTGAATTTTTTTTTTTTAATTTTCCTAACCCTTACGTACACCTATTAAGGCGTACGTACGCCTCATTAAGTCGTACGTACGCCTTATAAGTCGTACGTACGCCTTATGGGTTATTAAGGCGTACGTACGGGTTACATAAGGCGTACGTACGCATTATATTTTCGAAGATAAATTCTCATTTTTGGTTACAGTTTCAACAAATTTACGATTGCCGACAATTATCTTATGTGTCAATAAAACATTTTTGTGCGAATGCCAAGTAGCCTGGATTGGTGGGTCACAGAATTCGTAAACTAAGCCGATTTTGGAGCCTCAACCCACGGTCTAATAAGGCGTACGTACGCCTTAGTAAGGCGTACGTACGGTACGCCTTAGTAAGGCCATGGATGAGAAGGAGATCACTCGGCAACAGATCCCTTTGACGCGACAAACCTATAGCATGGTTCTCACGAGAGTCCTAGTGTCCGGATCGGGAGCTAACCGTTAGCACCTGCCTGAGAACGCCCAAATCGGTTAGCGCTAACCGTTAGCGGTATCCAGATACGCTAACGGTTAGCAAGTTGAGGGCGTTTCTATCATCAACCAATCACACGTACGCGTTTACAATTTCCAGTTTCTTATTGGCCAGTGATTCGGTCATCATATTGTTGGTATCCGGATCGTGATTTTCTCGCTTGGACGCACGGCAGCTAACGGTTAGCAGGATCCGAATCCTGCTAACCGTTAGCTGCCGTGTGAGAACATAGCCTATGTGTTCCCCGCCTTTGGATCGCGTGCGGGCGTATTACCCTATCGGTTAGCGCTAACGGTTAGATCCCGATCCGGATACTACGGCTCTCGTGAGAACCAGGCCTATATTTCACACTTTTTCGTTAGCAACAACTTGGCAACGACATGCATGTATACGCTTCCAGCAGAGCAGTTGTGCAATAAAGCGTTTGATTTTAACCCATTAAATATCTTTATAATGAACAATGTTCCCTTGATTAGATTTTTTCGGACTTTTAGTATGTTGTATATTTCAGGAACAGATTCCGTAAAATATTTATGTTAAAATTATTTCTGTGTTCATTATATTTCTGTCTAAAGATTGATTGGTTCGACTATAAAGCTAAGTCAGCGTAAAACTGAAAAATACTCAGATTTTGGATTGATTTTTCGAATAGTTAACCCTCGTTAACCCCAAAATGACTTAGTTTATTATAATTCTTAATCATTTATTAATTAATATCTGTTAAAATTAGAATTAGCGAATTTTGGCCAATTTATGAAAATTGAAGTTGAAATATACTATACTTTTAAAGGTAAATGTTCCATTAAATTCGAAACTTTTTTTTGGTGGAAAATATTAATATTTTTTTGATATTTTATGAGAGATAAATGTATCAGCTTCAAATGGAAACGATTGACTGTATGTAGTGCGCGTCGAGAAAAGAAGGTGCTTTCCAATTTTTTGGTAAACTATGCCTGCTGAAAATTTGATGGCGGGGAACACATCGGACTTCAAAGGCATCACGCAAACGTTCTTCACGCGCTGCGGCAGCTTTGATCTTGGTTCATTTGCTTTTTCGAGTGATCTCCTTCTCAATAATACCTCCATGGTAAGGCGTACGTACGCCTTATTAATGCGTACGACGTAAGGGTTACATAAGGCGTACGTACGCCTTATTAAGGCGTACGTACCATAGACATCTTGTCAGCACTTAGTAGTTTAATAGCTGCGCAGCAATGCAGAGTTATGTATGTGTACCATCCAAGATGGCCATCGTAGTAAAGCGCCAACTTCAGGCTTAGTATACATATTATTACATATTAATAAGCCCTCTGACTGACTATTATTTCATTAATGATAATGAGTAATGGTAATAACAAATTATTAAACTATCGTAGCCAAAACGAGGCCAAGTGGAGCATCTTATTCAAAAATAAAGTACTAAGGAATGAAAATTAAAATCGTGTATATTACACCTAAACACCGCAACAATCGAGTTTCAAACATACGGGTAACTAGCTGTACTGAACTTTCTGAGTAAATTGAGGGCGCAATTGCAAACGATGGTGCTTAGCGAAATTTGATTGGCTAAATCTATGGCAGCCATCTTGGATGGTACACACACAGTTCTGCGTATTTCGAACATCGAATACATTGAGGTTAGCGCTCTAGTATTCTTATTATATCTCTATGGTACGTACGCCTTAATAAGGCGTACGTACGCCTGAGGCTATGTTCAGACACAGCGACTTACGCTAGCGTAACGTTAATCGAGTGGTGTGAACTTGTGCGTGGCGTACTAGCGAACGCCAGTATCGCGCAATCACTGGCGTACGGTAATCCAGCAACATACCCCAGATTAGCGTACGCCACTGATTTACGACAGTCACGCATCGGTGATTTTGAGCTCAGCCAAGATTTGACCAATCAAAATAAATCTAGATGTAAACAGAAAATAAAATGCGCGAATTACGAATGCGAATATTTCGCGCGAATATTTACGCTGGCGTTCATTAATCGCCCAGTCTAGACATCTCGCTAGTTACGCCATGGATTAGCATACGCCCGGCGTTAGATACGCCTGGCGTATTTCTCAGGTCTGAACGTAGCCTTAATAACCCATAAGGCGTACGTACGACTTATAAGGCGTACGTACGACTTAATAAGGCGTACGTACGGGTTAGGAAAATAAAATAAAAATTCATTATGTCCCTTAAACAGCTTCGTAGAAATGCTTCTACCTGTGACTTATTGGAAGTTAATAGCACATACACTGAATAACAACGCCTAATTTATTATTGTATTTTTTTTTTAGATTTATAATATAGGCCTACATGGTATCTTAATTCCAATACTCGTGTTTGTTAGATTCGACAAATTAAGTTTGTTTTCAGATATACTAAAAATAACATTATTAATTTCTTTATTTCGTCATTCAAAGTTACTTCCTCTTTTGTGCCCTTCTCTTCTTCTGACAGACATCTGACCACTCAAGCTATTTGATGCTCTGTATTATGTCTTCCAGTCTTTATATTTTTTATTGTCCATACTTCCATTCCATTCCAATCGCCTTTTTATCTCATTGCTATTAGTAAATAGATATATAAACTATGCTTAGACATAAACATAGACTTATCAGAAGATATTTAAAGTTACTTATTAATGCTAACATAGACCACTAAAAACGTGACAGGACAACTACTTTAAAACCACGAACTGTAAGTCGTCAATAACATATGTATATATATACATATATATATATATATATATATATAT